AGTTATAGATGTCTCTCACTCCCATTTTTATGATATCCGTAAATGTTATATTATAAAATTATTATTATTATTATTATGTTATTTTTTATTATCCGTGAATGTTAGCAACTGGACAAATTGAATGCAGCGGTCAAGGAAAAGCGACCAGAATTGGTCAATCGTAAAGGTGTCATTTTTCAGCAGGATAATGCTAGGCCGCACACATCTTTGTCCACTCGGCAAAAATTGATGGATATTGGTTGGGAATTGATGTTACACCCACCATATAGCCCCGATCTCGCGCCATCGGATTACCACTTATTTCGATCCCTGGACAACTCCCTTCGTGGTAAAACTTTTAATGATGATGACGCTGTAAAATCTCACTTAACTCAGTTTTTGGCCGAAAAGGATCAGACTTTCTACGAGCGTGGAATTTTCAAGTTGTCACAGAGATGGCAAAAGGTCATCGAACAAAATGGAAAATACATTACAGATTAAACTACATTCCAAGTAAAAAAAAATTTTTTATTTCATTGAACAAATCGGCAATTACTTAGTTGCCAACCCAATATTTTTTCGGAAAAACGAAAGGGTCCTGAGAGGAGTGAAATTGATAATTAATTTCGTATACTTGTGAGCGAGATGTCGAGTTTTAATAATGAAAACGATGTTCTAAACTGTTCAAATGATATTCTTACATTTTCGAGACCCGATGGTATTGCTAGTTTTTTAAGTCACGGTTATCTGAAAACTGAACTAGGTCGAGTGACCCAGTATGACGTACGAGTTTCTCATAAAAAGTGTGACAGCGGCGGTTTAACGAAGCTAACGCGGTCTAAAGCCGTTCATTATTAATTCAATGAACGAGTTAATGCGCCAGAAAATAAATTCAGAAATATTTAACTACAAATGTCAAATTCAGCCAGAAATTAACATCCGAATGCAAGTTTATAAATACGTTAACAACCGATCGATATCCCCGCGAAGTAGAAGTTATTTCAGCAGCGTTGGTTATTAAAACTCCAATTACAGATTATTTTTCCTCGGAGTCAATCCGAGTTTTTTTATCGGCACGATTATTTGTAGCTCATTAAAGCACCGGAACGCTCGAACCCGTATAAAAGTGACGAAGCTGTATTCGTCGTGATTTCAATCTATCGGAATGACTTTAAAAAGAGCATCGATGCTTCCGGTAATCGCGGAATGAATAATCAAAAACCGCGTGATTTCGGCAGATCTGTAGGTTCGGCGTTACAGACAAGGGTTGTTGTTCAAGTAACCCGGGGACCGCACGTTCGTTCGGTATTTCGATTATGCTCTCGATAGGGGAACCTCGGTGAAAGATGCGTCGCGCGCGCATGCCGGAAAATTTGGGGCTAGACGACCGACGCGTTTCTACGCAAAAGCTGCACATTACCGTGCGAGACTCTATTACACGCACGGGAGTCGTAATTTTCGACAAAGCGAGACCAATATATTCTTTGACTTCATTACACGGGTACTTGAACGCACGATTCATTTACCTTGCTGCATAATTTCGTTCCCGCGGGGACCCGGCTCCGACAGAATCAAAGCGAAAATTCGACAAAACCGGTGGTTTAACAAGATCCGGCCGTCGAATCGCGGAGACAGGAATTTTAATTATCGACGATTCCGTTTCTTATTCATCGGACGATTCGATAAAATAGAGATTTTCGAAATCGGTATACGTTGAACAAGGAGCTGCAAGCCCCATTTCGACTTAATAATTACCTTTATGTAATTATACTTATTTATAATATACTTATTAATATTATACTTATAATGAAGTAGGAAAGTATACGCGAAGTATACGTGAACAAGTAAACAAATTGTTCTTCTTCAAATGTATGATCGGTACGATAAAATGTATAATCGGTTCTGATAAACCAGGTGAACGATTAACATTTCAACGTCAATGATCGTCACATAAAAATCATAAGCCGGTGAAATGTTTAGAAAAATGTAGTGCAATTCTGCGAGCAATCTTCGAGCTATAAATTATATGTATACGTACTGTTCACGAGGTCTGCACAAAATATGTTTAAATTGTACGAAACGTAATAAAGCGACACGAATTGTTGTATAGAATTCGCGACGACCCTGAAAATTTAAACTAGACTGCTCGCTGAAAAGATCGGGAGCGAATAAGTGGCCGCAAACCCTAAAGATCGGAAGTCACCGACTTCCCCCGACAACCCTAAAGAGGGACGCTTGATCAGGCATTCCTCGCAGACGTTCTGCAGAATCCGGGATGAACAACAAACGGTAGAGAGATACTTACATAAATCACCCAATCCTTGGGCGAGTGAGCGTTCGTGCCGCACATGTAGAGCCGATTCCCGTCCGCCATTGGCTGGATCACCCTTATGTGATTCCGGCAGTCGAAGTGCTGCAAAGGAAGGGGAAGAAAATTGAATTTTCGGTTGATACGTGGAAAGAAACGCGGCGCGAGCGGGAACGATGGAGCGCGTGGGCGGACGACAGGCGGCGAGGACAAGAGCTTCATGCACGGACACGGATTTTTCCGAAAAAATTATTTCGAACGGGATCGAGGCGAAGGGTTGTTCCGTGATCGATCACATCGGTCCCGTATTTCGGGCGAAATCGCCGGCCGCGCGAGAAATAAATTGGTTTTGTCGTCACGTAGAGAATATTTGCGTGGACCTTACACCTCGGCGCGGTGCGTGACACCGTGAATACGAATGAACCGGCGATAAGCGGTCGCTTGCTAAAACGAATGAGAACGAACGCGCCAATTTTATGCGGTTCCTTGCGATTCTCGCGATTATCGAATCGAACACGCTGATTATAAAGTGCTCGATTATGAAATCTTCGTGGACGAATTCATTCTTCGTCGAAAATGTTCAAAATGATCGAGTCGACGCTCGTCCATCGTTCGCGCGAATTTTTCGCAATTTTTGTATTCCGCAAAGCCAGTTTTGCGAACATTTTTATTTTCTATCGAAGACATTTCATTCAAGTTATTTATCGTTATGCTGGTAATTATGCGGCCGAGGATACACAAGATACAAATTTTCTGTCGCGGAAGTAAGATATTTCTGTATTACGAAGCATACGTTTCAAAGGTGTTTGGAATTTATGAGAATTAAAATCACACGGAGTGGAGCAACGAATTTCGTTGTTGCACGTTATTTTGGTCATTAGCATTCTTCCGATGAGGACTGTAGAGAATTTGAAACTGTGTATCTATAGTACTTGTCACCATGGGACAACTTAACAAAAAATATTTCTGGACGAAGAATTCAAAACAGTTTCGAAAAATATTATAAGATATGGTTCAACGAAGGCAGTTGATCTCGCGTTGATCGAGCATTGTTTTCGATGCACAGTTTTGTTGAAAGGAGAAAGAAACATCGCACCCTGTGGCAGAAGCGAACGCGTCCGTCAGATATCAAATTTCGAAGTCTATTCTTCCACAGCGGTGGAATTGAAATGTACGGTCCATTAAACGTGATCTCTCTTTCGCTGGTCTCGCGGCCGCGTTTATTTTACATGAAAAACGAGGAATAACAAGAGTAACGAAGGCATTGTGTTACAGGCGCCTTCAAATGAACTCGAATTACTTTGATTCGCAAAAGAGTCCGCCGATTCCGATTCTACGTGCACGCTACCCGACGCGTTTCTTTCCGACTTTTATCGAAAATATCATACGCTGCCTCAAACGGACCGTTTTTCTGTCCGCTCTTAATTGCGCCTTTAATTTGGTTCTCGCCGCTCCTTTCTCTTTGAATCGAACGAACCCTTGCGATCGTCAAAGCACAAAGTAGCGCACTTCGTTTCTTTGCCCTTTACCGGAAAAATCGAAGAACCATCGAATCTTTCCGCATTCTGTCTACGGTTCTCCTCGACGTCAATTGTTCGCGTTCACGAGTCACGTCGCTTTGCCATTGCCTCTCTTATCGTCAGCGTTAAGACCCCGTTGGTCGAAATTTCTTATGGTTTCCAATAAGTTTCAGGTTTCCAGATCGAGTACTTTGTTCCGTGCGGATTGATTAAGCGTTGTTTAAAAAGAACGCGCGAAGGATCTTGAAATATGAGCCGTTTATTTTGAAAGTGGCATAAGTCACTTTGTTTTTAAGTCGATATATTTAAGGGTTTACGTTTTAACACGTTTAAAAATATGGATGCTGACTTTCGAGAAGATTTACTTGTATTTGTTATCTCAGGATACTGATATTTTTCTCAGTATAAATAATTTCGTATAAACATTAAAAAATCACCACTTTTCATTACGATAAAGTGACTTATGCCACTTTCAAAATAAACGGCTCATATAACGGATACCGAAGGAAGATCAGAATGATTTCACGTTGAATCTTCGATGAAAAGAGCGATGCATACCTCGGACTTCCCTTTGGACACACAGTTCGCCACATTGCTTGGCTCCAGGTTCAACACGTCCCTCTGAAACAGAAAAGAAACAGAATGGTTACTTCGATTCGACGTGGCAGCGCGTAAAACAATGCTTAACCCTTAGCGGACGAGATGCGACTCTCGGTCGCCACGGCATTTCGCGCGGCAGGACGAATGGCGAGCGAGAGACGACAGTCGGTGTTTATGTTAGATTTCGTTATCTCCAACATTATCCGACCTATTGTTTTATGTGAAAGTCCCTGAAGTGGTGGCGCAAATTATTTTTCCGGGGACTGGAAATTTGTTTAATCGATTCGTACATTCTCTACAAACATGTAAAAAGACAGAGAAACGAACAGCCAGTTACACATTTGAACTTTCGCAAAATTTTGATCAACAAATTGAGAGGAGATT